AAAAAAAAACCTTCATACTTCACATATAACTCCATAAATTTTTCTATATTATCCCATATAAAAAGTATAAAGCCAACATATAATAATAGGCAGGTTTCTTGTGATTTATCATTACTAAGAGAATCTTGCAAACTGTTTAAATATAATTATTATTATATAAACACATTAACATATAATAATCTAAAACTTGAATTTGCTTTACATTAGACAAAACCAATTTAATTTGGTGGTTTACATTATATTTCATTCTCAAAAGAAAGAAAAATAGAATATCTAATAGATTTTAATAAAAATTTTTTCTAAATTGAAAATTGTTAAGCTAGACTTGCTCATAATTTTTTTTACTAATAAAGAGTAGAGAAGTTCAAAAGTAAGAATAAATAACATAAACTACTGAATTGAATTAGTTTTGCCTTAATAGATAACTAATTAGTTTATTTCTAATAGATTATGAACCCAAGCTCTTAACAAATCTAGTATTGTGAGTAAAATGTTATAATTTATCATAATTATAGCAGAAAATACTATAATTATGACAAATTATAGCATTGCACTCCTATTACTGAACAAATCTACAATAAGCAAATACTATTTACTTACTTTGTTTTATCTCCTGAACTAGAATTCTGATCATTAAAATCTTGAAACTGTATTGTATTTTCTAAACTGAAGGTTGGTATACTGATTGTATAATTTTCTATACTAAATTTTAAGTAGAATAATAAATTAATGTTAAAGACTAATATTCATAACTAAATTTTTGACAAGTGTACCTTATTATCTTTGGAAACTTTGGCTTTGTACAATATTACAATAAAGTTCTATAGCTGAATTGCTTGTTAATCTAAAGCTTTGATCCTGTTCTGAATTAGAATCTACTTCGTTTGCTAGAGAAGGATCACTGATAATATTTTAAAGTTAGTTATACTAAAAAGGGTGTGATGACTTAGTAAAGTGGTTAAGTTGTCGCATCTCCAAGTGATATGTTGGCTAGGTAGTAGTTCGAAACCCACTGGTGATGAATTTTGGAATATTCTATCTGTACAACATTACTGCTATCCAATTAATAGTTGGAATAAGATCTCTGTAACTCTGGTGGTACCAATAAGATTGGAAGATTATGGGGTATTTGTGTGATGTACAAGTTATACAAATAAGCCTCTAGATTATTATAAACCCAGAAACTGGAAAGGTGATAGAACACACTTGCTAAGACCCGAGTGGAGAATTAGCACAGATCTTTAATAGTACTACATAAAGGATTATTATCGAGAGAACTGGCGAAACTAAATAAAACTGAAGTTTTTGGCAAAGCACTCCACCAACCAGACTGCTGAGGGTGTAACTGAAGAAAAGGACCCAACCATAGGAACCAGGAGCAGGTCACAGCTCTTCCGAGCCATCTGGATTGGTAGTTTGGAATTGTTATGATTAAAATCAGTGATAGTCTAT